GCAGTGGTGACTTCCATCTGCTGCTGTTACACTGGCACAATTGTGCAGCTGTGGCAGCTCTTGGCTAGCTAAGCTAGCACCTGGGGCTATTGCCCCAGTGATCCCCCTCGTTATTCTACTGGATGATGTCCTCAGCCCAGAGACTGGTGGTTAGAGCTTATTTCTGGAAAATGGGAGATAGAAGTTCAACTACTTTCAGACAACCTGGTGTCTAAAATCTTGATCTCTCATTTTGTAAGCAAGTGCCCTAATTTCTAGGTCACTGAGCAAAAGACGGGTGGAGCCTCTTTTCCTTCCCACAAGGTAGACATGTTAGTGGTTTTCCAGTGATTCAAGTGGGTTGGAATAGGATCATACCTCATAACTCCGACCTCTAAAAGCTGCCTAAGTGCCATTACTAGAAGTGGAATGGGATCTTGGCCTTGGTTTTTCACTGATGAGTCTGGCCAGTGTGGGCCATTAAGGCACAACTCCTAAGAGATCAGTGCTCAGGTTCCTACTAATCCATAGACAGTCATAGCATTCCCTCAGTCCCAGGAAATAAAGCAAAGCAGACATGAAAAGTAGCTAATGGATTCTGAGGACAGAAAATTCCAACTATCTGGAAGCGAGTTAGATTTAGTCTATATTTAAAGTACTTAGCTAATTTCCCATAGTGGCAACCCCCTGAAGGAGATGCAGTTTATTGTAGCAAAAGAGTTCTTCTGCCAGTACAGCTTAAACCAGTTCCCAAAGTGAAACAACGTGTACCAACGAAGGGATATTTTAGCCAGTATAACAGTGTTGACATTAGGGTTTTTGCCAACACGATGATATTAGCAGGAGTGTGATTCTGTCATCTGATGAGCTGGATCAGTGAGTGAACAATTGCATTGCTATAATTATAGAGAGAAACTTTTGCCAGTAAAGAAATATGGGGGAAAAAATCTAAAAAAATCATATTATAAATAAGCAAATATCTAAGTAACAGATTACTGCTATCATTCCTGTGGAAGAACAGCAAAGGTTTGTGAGATGTTATAAATAAGAGAAATGGACAAAGTTGCCCCATGTTCACACTCTCAAGCAGCACTACAGTTACTGGCATTTATGAGAACTATCAGAAATAGTCTCCCTTCCCAAACTGGTAGGCGCTGAACATGGTTAAAGATGGAATTTTTAATCTACAATTTATAATTAATTCAAAGTTGCTTTTCTGGGTTCTCTATCACTAAGGCAAAACCACAGAGAGCGGCTTGTATAATTTCACAGCTTGGCCTTTTGCCATACACTAATGTTTAGACACTGTTCTTCATGCTGTCAGAATAATTCAGCAACAAAATAGCAAGGGAAGCAACTTCAAACAGTGGTGGAATCAGGAGTTTGGAAGATGCCACTGTCAAATCTCATTTAGAGTGAAGCATCTTTGCTATATAGGTATTTTATGTGGACAAGCGTTAAATAAATGGTACTTTTCTTTCACTTAAATGTATATTAATGTATTTTAATATAAGATTTTCTTCTTAAAGGAGCAGGAAGAGCTGGAAAAGCTACCCAGGGCTAGATACCTTATTGGTATAACTCAATTACCTGTGGCTTATATACCTTGTCATCATTTATACCTGCATAATGTGGGTGTAAAATGCTACCAAATCAGAATGCTTCATTTATTCAGCAATGGAAATGACACCGCAGGACATAAGACAAGAGAGAAGAACTCAAGTACTCTGGCACTTTAAATAATTTAGTACAGTATTTATTTACTAAGAGGCCTGGCCCTGCAGGCTTTAGATAAACAAGACTCATTTCTGATTTCAATAGGAATTCCATCTACACAAGCAATAAATGTTAGGCTCCTTAAGAGATCTGGTCATAATAAGTCTATCTCAGATTTTGTAAGACCACAGAATCTCACTACAACTGCAATGGCAATAATTCTGTGTTTTTCTATAGCTGACACTGGCTGAATGGTACAAGCTTGTATGGTGTTTTCCAACATAATTTTAACATTTTCTATCTATGACCTCTTTGACTCCTCCTCCCCTTCAGTTATTTGGAAAATTTTTGCCAGCCATAAGCGCTGCTTAAGTTGTGCAATGCCAGTAACGTGAACTGGTGAATGGAATATGTAGCACTCTTAGATATTTTCCTTTGCATTTTAGATCTGCAGAATTTCATGTCTGGAATAACAGCCTTGCCAAAGAAATGTCCAGTACCATGTACTTCCTTTCCCTTTCCCCATCACCAGTTGCTAAAGGCTCCAATTCTGCAAGACCTTTACTGAAGTCTCACTATAATGCCACTCCACATGGGTGAAAGTGTACAGATCCCTTCTCAGAATCAAGGCTGTTGATATTATTTTCTTGATGAAAGATGATGTAGAGGAGACACATTAATATTTTCCATTTACTGCTCACTAAGACTACACAGAACAAAGAGGGGACACAGGCTGTATCACTTGCAGTTTCACTTTAGACCACTGGTACTTAAGCTTTCATCCCCATGGGCCAGATGAGCAGTGCAGGGCTGGTCTATTGGCCAGATGTGGCTCTACATGCTGTGATTGAGCCCTGGGAGCCAACACTGCCCCGTACTGAGACCTGGCCCCACCCCAACCTGGTGCCATGCGACAGGATTAGTGCAGGGCCCAGCTCCCCCTGGGTCTGGAAGCAGTGAAGCAGTGCCACTGCTAAATTTCAAGGTCCACGAGAAGCCCTGTGAGCCAGATGACAACTGGGGCCTGAATTTGGCCCATGGACCAGGGGTTGAGCACCCCTGCTTTAGATGATACTTTAGTTAGGATTGAACATATAAAACTATTTCAAACTCAGTACAGCGTTGGCAACCATGCTTTTCTTGTTTTTTCAGGTATCCTACAGGAAGTTGTGTCCATTCAAAGAGTGCAGATCATGAACCTAAATTTGAAGTGACTAAGGACTTGATTCAGCAGTTCATTCCTATTCAGAAAAGCACTTAAGGGGTATACTTACAAAATACACAAGTTTAAGTGCTTTGCTAAACAGAGATGGACCTAAGCACATGGTTAAATGGTTTTCTGAACTGAGGCAGAGAGAAAAACAAAGTAAGAAAATTAAATTTGTATTTCCATATATCCCTTACTGCTGTCGCTTCTGTATTTTTTTACTATTCATTGAGATGGAAACAAATGATTCTACAAGCTGAAACAGAGAGCCGCCATATAAAGTTAGATGAAAGCCCAGCAAAATTATGTCAAACATGAAACGAACACAGATTGCAGAGTCGTAGCTTAGAGAAGAAATTGGGTTGGAAAAGTGCCCTCCTCCATTGGTGTGTTGTGACTAACAACAATGCCATCTCTACAGGTAGATTTTCCCTCAAGATTCAGGACTTGGACATGGTGTGGCATTTTAGCCTGTGTATTCACATGCATGCAAGATACCTTTGACTAAATGACCAAACAGATCTCTACCCTATTATTATAGAAATGTTGCTTTCATGCAAACAAGACCTAAGATCTAAGATGCAGATATAACATCTCTGCTTTCATTGCCAGACTTACACATAAATAACCCATGCAAAGTAAATTATTATTATTTTGAAGTATTGACAATCAGATTTGTGTTCAGATCTTCACTGATATTGCCGTCAGTTTTCTTGTCTACCAGGTTTACCTCCTTTATCATAATGTTTCATTATTCTCAGTAACTTCTCTCCTCATATCTTAGTCTCTAGCTTACATGACCATGGCACAATGCAGTGATACTCAAGCCAGCTTTGCACACAGTAGGTCCAAAACTGGAAACAGAATAGCCACATTAGTGCAATACTGAACCAAAGCTAATAAGCTTTCCTTCTCAGCCAAGCCAATAAGCTCAGGTGAAGTACTACATTACCTCAGCCATACTGCTAACATCCTGAGCTAGCATGTTGATTTGTGCAGATTGCTTGGTATCTTGGCATAACACTATATTTTCAACAGAGTTTACAATTTCCCCTCTATGCCCATGCCTCAAATTTTTGCCCAAGTGCTGGTTGTGTCTCACCTTGATGACTATAAATATTGCCTATTTGTCCGCTCTGCCTCCCACCTCTTCTTCCTCCCACTTGACACTGCTGGTTTTCTTCCTTTCTGAATGTACCTTTTTGTAAGCCAGTTACATGAAATTCAATTTTTTGTCCCCACTATGAAGCCTATAGCCTTCTATCACCTAATCCCTTATCCTCCCACAACTCCTTTCCAGACCTTTGTCCTAACTGTTCCTTTATCCTTTGCTTTTTGCCTCTCCGCCTACTTCCTTTGTCCATTTCTACGCTTGGATCAGGCCTGCAATTCTTGTGTACCAGGCATCAGAGAAAAGTAGTGCTGGAAAAGACCTGAGGAAGACATATAGTTCAATCTCCTGCTCCAGGCAGGATCACCCCTAACTAAACTATCCCAGGAAAGCATTTGTTTAACCTGGTCTTAAAACCTTAGGATGGAGATTCCACAACCTCTCTAAGTAGTCTGTTCCAGTGCTTAACCATCCTCATAGTGAAAAAGTTTTTTTTCTATTATTCAACCTAAATTTCCCTTGTTGCAATTTAAGACTTATTCCTTGTCTTGTCCCCTGCAGCCAGAGAAGACTCTATTACCGTCCTCTTATAGCCACCTGTTTTCCTCTTCAAATTAGTCTTTAACCAGCACTTTTCCAAGCAATGCTTCCTGTTTTCTTCTGTTCCAGAATCTTCCCTTTTTACTTCACCTGAACTACTGTCCAGCATCTTGTCTTGTGTTTGACTTGTCTATATTATACTGTAAGCTTGCAGGAAGAAAAATCGCAGTCTACATTTTTGAAGTGCTGTGTACATTTAGGATGCCAATAGCCATAGATATGTTTAATAATAAATAACAATTGGGTAGTGATTATAATCAAGGATTATAAGGAGATGGTACAAAGCAGATAAGGAATAATTTGCTCTTTCCTAAGATGGGCTGATTTAGCAGGACTGTAAACGGTATTAAATGCAATAAAATAAATCAATTAACTTATTTTAAATACCTAAGCAATATAATGTATTTACTGTCCTATGCATCCAAGCTCCAGTCTGCTTTCCCAGTCAAGTATAAAATCAGGAAGAGTTCAGAATAGCTGAAGGTAGGAGCAAACAAACATCTCTTCAGTTTCAACAGCCTAATTTGGTGCCAGCATGTTGCAACTGCAGAAAATATTTACTTTTAAGGGACTTAGAAATATTTCCACCTGAGGGAAGACCAAGGAAAAGTAGCAAAATATATTCCCTTCTTTCTGACAGGTTTAATGTCAAGTTTATTAAGCTTCTTTACAGGAAATATGAATTTTAATCTAGAAAATGGAATTTGTACTCATCCTTTCGAAGCAAACACTGAGATCTGTATTCAGTGTCAGACCCTGAATTTGGAATAGACTCACTAGAAAACCGAATGTTGTGCTCCATTCTGAATCAGGCACCAGAAATTTTTCCATTCTCTCTTTTCTGCACCTGAGCACAGGACAAGGTCTTGATAAAATAGTTTGCCATGGAGGAAATACACACCAACCTTGTTCATAAGATCATATAAAAAAGTTGCTTATACAACACCAAGTGGTGTTTTGCCAATATGCCTCCACAAACCATATTCCCCATCTCCTGTTACGTGATGCTGTTGGGCTCTTTTTAGACTCAGGGCTCAGCAACTTAACTGAATGCCTCGAGGAAATCGATTCTAAGTCTTGTTAAGCGTCACCACTGATAGTCTGTTGAAGAAGACCAGTTTGTTAGTCTGCTCTTCTGCTCTATAAATAGTGGTGTCAGATGCATCAGCTGCATTTTTCTCACCGAACTGAACTGTGCCCTCATTAACACTGAACAGGCACTTAACTTAAGAGTAAAGCCTGGCTTGACAGCATGTCTTAGTACATCCCATTTACCCATGCAAATTAATATTAGTAACAATAAAAAACTATGGTATTTCTGTTTTTCTCCCAAATAAAAGCAAACGCTCACTCCTTAATTAAAAGATAAATTTAGTGAACACACTTTTAAACTATGGTGTTGGGACTTTTTTTAAGTTGAAATTATTTTGATGATTGATATATTTCTTAAGCCTCACAACTGATTCCATAAATTAGTACTAGTTGAATACTTTAAAAAGTATTTTTATCTATCTATCTAGCTAGCTATCTATCTAGCTAGCTTAGCTAGCTAAGTTATTGATGGACAAATATGTTTGCAGAAAAAATTTCATGTAGGTTAATATTAATAGAAAGCAAATTTTCATTTAATAGATGCAAGTCTAGACAATGGAAGCTTGTTTTTAAGAATGATATGCCTCCAGTCAGGAAACAGAAGCAATGCCACATGATTTTTGTGGGCAATTCAAATAAACTAAACCTATGCCAACTCCTTCTGTAAATATGGAATATATAAAACTTCTTTTGATTAGTCAATAGGTCAAGAATAATTTTTTAGTATTAATTGCCTAATTTAAGTTGTTGGGCCTTGAAGTGGTGCACGCCTTGGTGGACCAGGTGGCACCACACCAAACAGTCAGCAGCTTGCTTCCCACAGCCATTGGTGTTGTTGCTTTCATCCTTGTGGGTGACCTTGAATGTTTCTTTGTATTGTTTCCTTTGGCCGCCCTTTGAGTGTTGGCCAATAGAGAGCTGGGAAAAGAGAATCTAGTGAGGGAGGCAGTTCTTGGATATCCAGATGTAGTGGCCCGTCCATCGGAGCTGATTTCCCAAGAGCAAGGCTTCGATGCTGGTGGATGCAGCTTCATGGAGGATGCTCGCACTGGTCTGACGGTCCTGCTATTTGTTCCCCAGGATTTGACACAAGCACCGCTGGTGAAAGCTGTTGAGGGTCTTAATGTGGTGTTGGTAGATGGTCCAGGTGTCACTGCAGTAGAGGAGAGTAGTCAGCATGACAGCCTTGTAAACCAGGACCTTCATTGACTTCTGAAGGTCTCTATTTTTGAAGACACGTTGTTGCAGCTTGAAGAAGGAGGTACTGGTGCAGTTGATTCCTCAAATTCAGGAATATAAACAGTTCAAAAACCATTTGGAACAGAGATTCAGTGAACAAATTATTTGCTTCAAATAAGCCATTTTGTGTTTTTAGTGTATGTTTAGATCAAAGAATACATCAGATGGTCTCATTTTAGCCCTCTCTGTGAACCTCAGTCCACATCCTAAATCAAAATCTGGGGCACTTTAATCATACTAACCCAATGGGTCCAGGGTACCTTTGAGTGTTTTGACTCTGTACATGGTTTAGCTTATTATTCCTTTACTTTCAGGAGCCCTGTTTCAGTCAGTGAAAAGGAAATAGAGAAATATTTATGTAAGGTGAATCGTAGAGAAGAACCTATAACTGTTGAGCCAAGCATCCTTCTCCAGCCAGAAATTTGGGCGCATTCATGGTCAGTGCCATAGCAAAGAAGTTTGGCACCTGGGGCAAAGCCCACAGCAGTAGCCCACCCTCTCCCCATGCACAGATCTGGGGGGCATATGCCCCCCGCCTTGCCTAGAAGTGCATGCAGCAGCAGGAGCCACCCTTCCTCCATCTCCAACCCCTGCCAAATGAGCCTCTCACCACTCCATCCCATGCAGTGCCTGTTGGTGCTCCTTCACTTCGGCACCTGGGGCGGTTGCCCCACTCACACCCACTTGCTGTAGCACTGTTCATGATTAATCATTTGCCACTTATGCCCATTTCTAGTGAACTCCAGTGGAGGAGTAGCAGAATGGAAGGGAGGAAGAGAAATGAAATGTACTCAAATGTAGGGCAAACCTGTTGTTACTGCTCTGTATTCTGACACAGTGCAGAACTACTCTTTTTATCATCTGATACATAAATGAAGTCCATGCAAACTACAATTCTAGGAGGTTACTGTTACAGGTATATGAATCAACCATGCCTTGGACAAGAACTTTTCCCTGAGCCATCTGTGCTTATAAGGAAGAGACTATGTTCTCATTTAAAGTATAAGTTGTAGTTTCCATTTGTTTTGTGCTCTTCTTTCCCTTGGAGTCTCCCCTCATGCCCTTCTTCCCTAGCAAGTTTCTCACCCTTCATTACTGGGACACCAACTGAAATTCATTAGGAATCTTCTTCTTAAGAATACCTACAGCAACATTTTTATTCTTACGTGAGTAGGACTACATTGGAGCTCAACTTTCTGACCACAAGGTGGCGATGTTGCCCACAAAGTATGGAGCTAGACTTGTTTCAGCAGGTACTTCAGTTGCAAAAAAAAAAAAAAAAAAAAAATCTGTTCTGGGTGCAGATTACAGGACGATTGTCAGCAGCAAGTATTGACATATTGCTTTTGAATTTCTTTTTACTCATTAGCACTTTGAATACTGCCTAGCTCCTTAGCTTTAGAGACACTGTTCTGAAATACATCCAACATCAATTTACATAAATGTGTAGGCAGAAGACCATGAGCTCCTTATATTGCAGTAGAAGAACCCTTCCTGAAAAGACTGTTTTTGATTTTAAAAAATGACTGATTTAACAGGTTAAAAATATAAAACAGAGAGACCTGAAAGAAAGTAAACCCCAAAAGGGCAGAATGAGGAAAGCAGAGAAGGACAAGAATGAAGAGCAGAACCTACCCGCGGCATGAAAAAGATGAACGAGGAAGATATAAAGAAAGCCATACATACAGTTACAGTGACCTTTTACCATCCCAGGAGTCAAAACAGTAGCATCCCAAGTTGAGCATGAGTGGTGGAGAGTGAGTGAGCCTGAGGGGTTCTATTTACTTTCTGATTAAATTGTTTCACGTGGTTGTCATGAACACTAACCTATGAGGAACATACCTTCTTGTCTGTGACTTTTTTGACTGTTGAGTCATTGGCACACAGTACAAATGTTCCAAAAGAAAGATTGTCACCCTGGTTGCAGAAAGCTTAATAGCAAATGTTCTATAAAAACATGTAAAGGAGAATATGTACACAGGGCAAAACCTTATTTTTACTTGACTACATGCAATCTCATTTTAGGTGTATAAGTGAGAGCATAATTTGCCCTGGTACCCATTGACATGTCTGCTGATGGAACTAGCACCAAATAGTTTTGAGGATCTGGGGCTAGAGGTCTCCCTGAGCAAATTCCCCAAGTGTGGCTTGTCAGTGCTTAGGTAAAGTTATGCCGATTGTTTACAGTATCTATGTATCACTGTCTGATCAGCAGGGATCCTGGTTTTCCATGATAAAAAATGCAAGTTCTCTGATAAAAAAATCACAAATTCTCTAATAAAACTGCCAAAATCCATGGTGAAAATTAAAGCCCCCCCCACAGCTCCCCCAGCCATGTTGGTGCCCCTCACTCCCCACTATGAAAATTAAAGACCCCCCCACAGCTTCCCCAGCCATGTTGGTGCCCCTCACTCCCCACCCACAGCCTCCTGGCCCTGCTTGTGCCTCTCACTCCCCCGCCACCCACCACCACAGCCTTGCTGGTGCCCCTCACTCCCCCAACCACAGCCAACCCTGCTGGAGGGGGCCCCCAGCTGTCAGGGCTACATACCTGGGTCTGCAGCCCCCTGGTCCCTGCTGTGGGCTTGGGTGGGGGGGCAGCACCCTGCCACTGTGTGCACTCCCAGGGGACAGGGGGGACCTGCACCCCCCAGATCTGTACACAGGGCAGGTGCAGGCTGTGGGCTTGGGCTCCTGCCCCTCTTTCCTTTCCTGGGGTCTCCGCAGCCCAGCGGGCATGATTTGGTGTGGCAGGAAACAGCAGAGCCGCACGGAGAAGCTGCTCACCACTGTGAGCTCTGTACTGCCCTGGTGACCTGCCTCTTGTGCACAGGGCTGCAGTGAGAGCAGCAGCACAGGGTTGCACCCCTCAAAGCAGCGGCACGTGCAGGGGGTGCATCACCAGGGCAGCGTGGAGCTTGCAGCAGCAAGGAGATCCCCATGTGGCTCCACTGGTCCCTGCTGTGTCGGGTTGTGCCCGCTGGGCTGTGGAGGCCCCGGGGGAGGGAAGCAGGGTGGGAGCCTGAGCATGCAGCCTGTGCCCACCCCATGCACAGATCTGGGGGGTGCAGGTCCCTCCTGCCCCTCGGGAGTGTGCATGACAGTCCTCCTCCTCCTCCCCTGGACATGCCACCTGTGGCCCTGTCCTGCTCCCAGCTGGGGCCCTGCAGCTATGCATTGCGGCCCTGGGTCCCAAGCCCCATGCACTGTCCGGCTGGGCAGCAGTCCTAGCTCTGCTCAGCTCCCTCCCTCCCTCCCTCCCTACAGGGGCCTCAATACCCCTCTCCCCCCTCCCCTACCACTTACCTGTGGTAGCTGCTCTCCAGACTGCCTGGGGCCATGTGCATGTACATGCACATGACGCGCCCCCACCTGACCGCCCTCCTCCCACTCTCTCACAGCTCCCTGCTGGCTGGAACTCTGCCAGCCTGCATGGAGCTCATTGCAAAACTGCAAAATCCATGGGTTTCTCTGGTAAAACGAGAAATCCGCATTTGCCTCCAGTAAAAGGTAAAATCCGCAGTTGACTCTGTTTTTCCGGTGCTGCTGAAATTGGTTCCAAAATAAACTTTTAAGGTTGATTCGCTCTTGATTAGTGAAAAGAGCTCTCTACTGTTGATATAGAAAAAGGAAGAAAAGGAAGAAGAGATGAGTGAAAAAAAGTATGAGACAGAACAAGCATGTAAGAGAAAGTACCAGGGAAAAAGCATATACAGATTTCTGAAGCAATGCCATTTAAAACTGTGTTGATCTCATCTCATACAAGGTTCTGCTGCTGATCCTAGGTTTATTATTAGAAATTACTCCCTTTTGTCAAGCCTGTTATTTTAATTGCACCAGCCTGGAAAGCATGCCTCTACTCCCTCTCCTCCAGACTGTTAATTTCTGCCAAACCTTTCCTATCTCACTAGAGAAGCCTGCAATTTGGTGCCTCCCTCTCCTTTGAAGAGATACATTCTCAAACTGCTGTGGGGAGAGGGGGGATGAATACCAATTACATTTGTGAACCCTAAAGGTGTCAAATTCTGCCCTTGTGTATGTGAACAAGTCTCCCAATAAGACTAAGAACCCTATGTGCATAGCTGAACGGAGAATTTGGCTTCATCTTATGAATACATAACTGTTTGGTCAATAAAAGCAATCTTTCTTTTTAACAACCAGCTGCATCCTTACTCCCTAATCAGCCACAGTCCATCATCATGCCCCACCCCTTCCCTTGGCAACCCAAAAGTGTGGGTCCAAGCACTCCTGCCACCCACCTCCCCCCACCATAAATCAAGCAAGCACATTGCAGATGTTGGTCAACTGCAGGCTACTGAAATTTAATGAACTCATATTTAGGAAAGAAAAGACAGAAGAAAAGTGAAAATGCCCCCAGCCACAGGTCACCCACCCCTGGGACTCTCAAGCACTCCTCACTTCCTTCCACATTACCCACTGTGAGGCATGTTGGGCTGGATGCTCACTCCCACCCTGTGGTGTTGGAGCTAGAGCACTTCACATAATCATAAACCAGTCCCTAAGCAGTGATATTTTGGAGCAGTTCAATTGCTAATGTGTGCCTGTACCCTAAAACTTTCACTTTTAGGCTAGCATTTTCAAAATAAGTTGCTAGAGTTTTTCCTAGGGAAGTTTCTTGGAAATACTAATTGTTATATAGCACTTGGAGTCCTAGTACTGAAAAGAACAAGCACTTGGGCTTCTGCAGTAGGAGGCTGAGAAAGAGCTAACATTTTTCTTTAGACAATGTTCAGGCACATGTGAGAGGAATCCCAAACAGACACTTCTTGAATCTTCTTTTAGTTGTGCAGCAAGGGGAGAAACTGATTTGCAAGGCCACCCCAAACTACTGTG